GAATTAGCTGTAGAGGTCCTTTGGGACTACAATTCCCATGATCCCCCTTGGCCTGTGAGGGGGGTCCTGGGAGTTGTAGTCCGAAGGGCCTGCTCACGCGGCTAGACAGGCTGAATGTACAGACTGGATTCAGAGACAGAAGGCGAAGAGGGTGCTTGTCTGAGGTTTGGGGGGCATCAGAACAACTCCAACAGGCGCACCCCCCCAGGGTGTCTGGTTTTTAACTGAAAGCCACCCCCAGAAGGTAAGGGGCTGACGGATTCTGCCTTCCTTCCCTTCCCCCCCCCCCTTTGTGTGCTTTCTCTCCTAACCCCCAGGAGCCCCATGGTAACCGGCACCTCCATCCTGGGGCTGAAGTTTGACGGCGGCGTCATCATCGCGGCGGACATGCTGGGCTCCTACGGCTCGCTGGCTCGCTTCCGCAACATCTCCCGTGTCATGAAGGTGAACGACAGCACCGTGCTGGGGGCCTCGGGCGACTACGCCGACTTCCAGTACCTCAAGCAAGTGGTGGAGCAGATGGTGTAAGTCTTTCTGCCCCGTCATTCAGGCGGCCACCACCTTCCTGCCGTGGAGCGCTTTCTTTCCTTCTTGAGGTGTTCCGACTACAGTTCCCATCTGCCCCTGCAGTGATGGGGCTTATAGTCCATACAGTAGACTTCCTCCAATAAATCAGTAATTTAATTCTCAGAGATTGCTGCCTGCGGAATGATTGGGACTACAACTCCCATTGGCCCCAAACAGCATGGCCAGTGGTCCTGGGTGGTAGGAGTTCTGCTCTTTTCTAGGTCTGTGTGTATAGGCCTAGAGGCATTAAAAGTGCAGCGGAGGGTGGATTGGTAACTCTTTCCCACATTTTACTGGTTTGGAAGTCAGGCCGTTCAGTTTTTTCTAGGCCTTCATATCCCTCCTCAGGTCCTGTGTACCCCCCCTTTATTCGCCCCCCCCCCGGGCAGTCAGCTCGTTCTGTCCTGAAGGTACAAATCCCTTGCACATTGTGGACCTTTGTTCACTGATTATTAAACATCACAGAACGCTGCGGCCAGTCACGGCGCCTTGGGTGAGGAAGCTAACGTTCCTTCTGGGGCCCCCGCAGGATTGACGAGGAGCTCCTGGGCGACGGGCACAGTTACAGCCCCAAAGCCATCCACTCCTGGCTCACCCGCGCCATGTACAACCGCCGCTCGAAGATGAACCCCCTCTGGAACACGGTGGTGATTGGCGGCTACGCCAACGGAGAAAGGTGAGGAGGGCTCCTGGCCCAGAAGCTGTCGGTGCAGAAGTAGGTATCTTCGTTCCCAGCAAAGCCACAACTGGTTATTAGCCAGGGTCAGGCCAATACCTGGGAGAGCTTGCTCGTTTTCAGATGTTATTGTTAGTGGGCAGCGGGGATACCTCACTGGTTGCTGGTTATTTCCAGTTTGGTAAGTTCCAGTACAAGTTCCTGCTGCTTCGGTTAGGAAAACGGTGGCCGCTTTGGCATGGAAGGACCTTTTCATCTCATGGTGCTAGACCTCGGGCGTTCCTGGAGGAAGCAGAAGAGTAAAAAAGAGTTGTTCCTAACAGAACATGTCATTGATTGACACACGAGTTATGTTGCCTTCAGAGTTCTGTGGAGGGGCGTTTAGGGCATCAGTAGAGGAACACAACACTTAGCGGCTGAAGGCTGGCGGAGAAAGCGAGGAAATACTTCTGCTCCCCACAGGATTCACCAAGCCCTGTCCTCTTTCTCAAGTTTCCTAGGTTACGTGGACATGCTTGGGGTGGCCTACGAAGCTCCTTCGCTCGCCACCGGATACGGCTCCTACGTGGCGCAGGTGAGTGGCTGAATTCGGCACCCATGTTTTTGGGGGGGGGGGTATCTTGTCTCTGGTTCTGCAGCCGAGCTCTCGCTCTCCCCCTGCAGCCCCTGATGCGCAACGCCCTGGAAACGCAGCCTGTGCTCTCCCGGCAAGAGGCCCGCACCCTCATAGAGCGCTGCATGAAAATCCTCTACTACAGAGACGCCCGCTCGTTCAACAAGGTAAGTGCCCAGCTGACCGCTGCGGAAAAGGAAAGGGCTGTCCCATTTAGCTGCTGGACCAGAAAGTTCTGGACTGCCTGTGTGTCTTTCCCGAAGTCTCCTTGGTGCTTTGCAACCTTGGGAGAAGTATAGGCTGGATAGATGCACGTTGCTTGTTTGTTCACAACCTCTGAGCCTATGTTCAGCCTGAGTGTTTATTTTTCAAGCCGTACCTGAGCTCAGTAGCCTTTTACGTACGCAATCACTCCTGTCGCCACCCTCTGGAAAACTCCCTTTTCTTTGAACAGTCCAGGCAGAGGGAATTGGGGTGGGGGGTGTTGCCATCCGTGAAGCTCCGAGGGGAAACATCTTTGGCAATCTCTTGCTGCTCACCCAATCCCCCTCCTGCCCAACGCTCCTTTATAGGCAGACGTAAGGCACGGGGCTCACCGTTTGCTCTCTTGCTCCACAGTATGAGATTACGACAGTAACGGAGAAAGGCGTGGAAGTGGAAGGGCCGCTCTCCTTGGAGACCAGCTGGGACATTGCCCATCTTGTCAGGTAAGGACACGGGTGTTTGGGCTCAGTTTCACCAGAATTAACCCCACTCATTGGCAGTCCGGAAGACCCCAGGTCTGTTGGCCCACACTCTCCTGGGGGGTCAAAGGCCCTCTTCCCCCAAAAGGCTGCAGGCGTTGCATGTCTGGGCCATAGTACTTTGGAGTCCAAAGAGCAAACTTTCATATTGGTTTTGTCTAAAACGCTCCGCATCTAGTTGTCTTCTTAATTTCAAAACAGTTATTCCACGTCCAAAATATTTCCAGACGTCGTGCAATGTTGTCTACTGCAAAGTTTGTTGAAGCACACCAAATTTTTCTTTCTTCTCTTGTAGCGGCTTTGAATGAAACTGGAGAACCTGCTCACGTCACGTCTTTCAGGATGTCCTAATCCAAAGTCGTGTCTAGTTCTGTTTTGTGTCCTAGTGGTGGTAGGAAATCTTTAAAACTTTTTGTAAACTCAATAAACGAAGTTGAGACTCTTGCCTGGTATTGCTACTTTTATTGAAGTTGTCATTATTAATTTTCCAGAAGGATCTGTTTCTCCCCTGAAACTTCCTTTCAGTTAAAGTTACAATTTCTAGTAACGGTTTATTCTTTTAAGTATTCCAGGCTTGTATACTTTGAGTGAGTTTACACACGCAGAATAATCTTCGAAGGTCATTCTTCCTGGCACTCTTTAACAGGTCAGAACACAAGGAGTGTTTTAGTTTCTTGTGTTTATGTATGATTAAACTGTTTCATGCACACACAAAATAGCTTTTCCCCTTCCTGTCCAGCTTTCAGCAGGCATGGAATTTGTTCCTTTTTCTTATGCATCTCCCTTTCTCATCTCCGCCCTGGCCTTGTCCTGATCTGGTCTCTCTTCTTTGAACCACAGAGGCAGAGGAACCCAGCCAATAAATACTGTGACAGGATTCACCGTGGCACAGTCCCTTTCCAAATCAGGATAAAAGACTTTTTAGAAAACACTTAAGATATTCCTGCTCCCTCTTCCTGTTCCCAAGGTGTAACAGACGTGGTCAGTGTTAAGACAACGTCATCCTTGTAGCGAGCAATTAAGACCAGGAGCAGGCAGCAGGGTCAGATGTTTCATCTTGGGTGCAGGGATTGGGAAGAAGTGATCTTTGGGGCCCATTCCTGGTGAGATTCTGCAGAATTACAAAACTCACAACACTGTCAGTAACTGGCCTCGTACGCTGGCACTTCTTTCACTACCTCACATCTCTGGACAAAGGAAGACATCTTAAGCTGGACCATGGGTTGTTCAAAGCTTACTGTCCTTTAGAAATGGTTTCTCAAGCACCACCTGAAAAGCTTCTGGGCTCTGCTCTGAGGTATCTAGTTAAGCTCCCCTCGCCCCTGAACAAAGCTTTTTAGCAACACCCGTTGTCTAAACCCACCTCTGCCAGTCTGCCCCCAGCCAGCCTGGCAAATGAAGACACCCACACCCTGGAGGCAGCAAATTAGGAAAGGCTGTTCTCCTGGAAAACACCAAACACTGCCCCTCTACATTTTAGCAGAACCGTGAGCACTTCAGCAGAGATTTCGTCAGAGAGGCCTGACGGAGACACCGAAAAGTGCTCAAAGAACCCTGGAATCCAATTTCGAAGCTCCTGGTTTATCTCCTCAGTTTCTGAGGGTGGGGCCTGTGTGTGTGAAACCGGAGCAGTCTGGAAGCGGCTTCTATAGGGAAGGCAACGGGGGAATGAGATACAACAGACTTCGAAAAGCAGGAAACATCAGCACCTTCAAGCACCTTTTAAGCGTTTATGGCTTGCACTTATTGCACGCTATCCTTTACGGGTGCAGGGAGGAAAGAGATTGGGCCCCAGGTCTTTAGATTATAAGGTGGATGGCCCTGTGGTTTGGCTTTCTGGTTGCAGAGCCTGAGGTTGGGAGTTCAATTCCCCGTTGTGTCTCCTCCTTGAATATCGAGAGGGTCCCTTTCCAGCACTGCAGTTCTAAGATTGTTATTATTATTATTTTCCTGGAGTTCACTTCTCAACCACCGACATAGCTGTGAATACAAAACAACTTGAAGGACATATCTTTAGAAACCAGCAGTTCAAAACAATCCCAGGGTTGTGCAGAAGGGCGAGGGGGTTCTCCTCTTACCTTTCACTTTGGTTTCGCTGCTTCTGGCTCCAAGTCGGCCAAGGGAGACGGAAGATCTCTGCTGGTCCCGGCGGCCCCTGCAAGGCGAAACGCAAGACCAGGATCAAGGCCTGGCTAAGCAATAATTTCACAACCATCAAAAGGAACGCCCAAGAGCTGCTGCTGCTGCTGCTGCATACTCACGCTGTGGTTTCCTGCATAGGGGACACTGGCTGGCAAAATCAGGGAGTTTCCACTTGAAGCTGTCCTCGTTGCCCTCTCAGAGTGCTCACTGACCAAAGTCCCGGACGGTGGCATTGCAACAAGAGCCACTGCTGTAATGAGAAGCGACTATCCAAAATAATTAATCAGCGGAAGTAAATCACCTCACACAGTCCGGAGACTCTGGACCAAGGGAGAGGAAATGGACGTTGGAGGGGGAAGGAGATGGGATTTCTCTCTGACCTTGGTTTCTTGGTGAAACCCAAGCTCAGGAGGAGCAGGAACCGAGCCACAAAACTTTCCCTTCTCCATAATAAAAACACATGTTTATAAATCCATTTCCCTGGTTTTATTAAATGTTCCACATATGTACATTTTAATGATGAACCATTTACAGGTCACCCAAGAGCTCTCCTTCCTGCTTGCCTGGCGCCACCAGGGTGGGGTGAATGGGGAGGGAACAGGGGAAAGGGAAACCTCAACAAAAATAACAGAAAAACAGTGTGGAGGGGCGGGGGGAGGGGGTCCCACGCTTCTGTGGTGTCCAAAGGGTTTCATTATTCAGACCATAATACGTTACAATTTTTAAAAAACTCTCAAACATGCAAACAGTAGAAAAAACATCTTTTTCTTTTTTTTCTTTTGTCTCTATACGCTGGCAGTGAAAAATAAAAACAGGAGACACTCCCTTGTTCTTGTGCATGTCACAGTTTCTGTTCTGAGGGGAGCACTCCATCCGGGGAACATAAGTGTCTGGATGCCACGGGAGAAAGCTGGCTTCGGTAGCTAGCGATCCGTTTAAAAACAAAACAAAAATTCCCCTCAAAGATTAAGTCACTGGTCCGTTAAGAGGATTAAGCTGTCCGTCAAAAGGCCGCCACAGCCGGGCTCAGATCTTCCGCAAACAGACTCTGGGGACAGCGATCTGAAGGCCAACCGAGGATCTAACCAGCAGAGGAAGAGACACAGCGAGGTCGACTCTCTTGAAGTCCAAGTAATTTTCTTTCAAAGGATCTTTGCTTAACCTTTTCTCTTTCATTTCTTTAAAGCACAGGACGACGCAAGTCCAAAGATCCATTTGCTGGTGACGAAATAAGGTGGGATTTGCTCCCTCCCGCCTTCCAATTGCTGTTTTCTTGCTTCCTTGCTTCCCACCCCCCAATGGGCAGCTATCGAATCTGTCACATTGTTAAAGTAATCATTCACACCTAAAAATAAAAAGGTTATTTTTTTTATTTAAAATGGGGTAAATGTAGTTACCCCCAGAAATCTACATTTCTGGGTCCAGGGGTTAAAGAAGAAGAAAAAGTCTGCTTTAAAACAAATTCTTAAAAGAGACAGAAATTTGGAGATAGTCAATAATTAGCTACATACGGCTTCTCCTTGACTTAAAAAAAAGGTCACATTGAGGATGTAGGATAATTAAAAACTTTTTGCACCGTATAAAACAATCAAAATAAGGAGAGAGAAAAAACATGAAGCCCAGAAACTATAATACATTGAGGTAAAGAAAAATGCCAAAAAAATTAATAATAAATTCACCCACAAAATATCTCCAGAAAATATCAACACAGTGATTTAACAAACAAAAAAAAAGAAACAAATTAAGCACTTTTTTTTTTAAAGAAATGGCTATTAGCCTGCATGTTCACCTACTAAACTCCTACACCCACAAATCCACAGGGAAGTGAAAATGGTCTCATTCAACATTGAAAAACAAAACAAAAAGAAACAGAAAAACAGAAAAAGCACTCTCTGGGTTAGTGGAGGTTCAGACTTCCATCAGATCCAAGTCTGCATCCTCGAAGCCGTAGAACGATTCCGTCTCGCTCTCCCCTTCAAAGAGCTGGTGGAGGGTCTCCGGGGTGGACGACTCTTCCGCCGTCCCTCCCTCGCGGGGGTCGGTCTCCTCGTCCTGCGACTCGTGGCTCAGCTTGAGCTGCTCCTCCAAGGAGGCCATCAGCTCCTCCTGCATGTCAGCGTTGCGGGCGGAGGTGTTGGCCGTGCCGTCAGGCCCGGGCAGGACGCTGGCCACCAGGAAAGACTGCTGCACCAGTTCAGGGCAGTCCCGGATGACGTCGAGGGCCTCGGCCAGCCAGCACAAGACCAGCTGGAGGAGGATGTCCGAGTCGCAGGCCGAGTCGGCCATCTCCTTGGCCTGCTCTTTCCACTTTTTGTGCACAAAGTTCTTGACTGTCCTTTTGATGCAAACGTCCAAAGGCTGGATTTTGGAGCTGCAGCCGGCCGGGACCACAGCCGGCAGGGTGCTGGTGGAGCTCAGCACCGAGAGGACCTCTTCGGACAGGTGCGTCCGGTGGCAATCCAGGACCAGCATGCCCTTGCTGTTCTGGCTCCCCAGGTGCTTGTGCCACACTTTGGACGACCACACCTCCATGACCTCATCGTCGCTGTAGCCGTTCTCCCGCGCCTCCAGAAGGATCGTCTCCGGCACGCCGGCCACCTGCTCCACGCGGCCCCGGTAGACGACAAGGGTGGGCAGGACGCTGCCGTCGGCCAAGATGGCCAGGACCACGTCGCACCAGGGCTCCCCCGTCCCCACCGTCTGCAGGGCGTTCTCCTTGCGGTCGTCGCTGAACAGCACCTCCACGTCCAGGAAGAGAGAGATCTCGTCGACGGCGGCGATGGTGGAGAGGGGCAGGTCCTGGGTGTGGATCTGGCGCTGCACAAACTCAATGAAGCAGTTGGCGTTCTCCTCCACTTCCTTCGGGAGCGGGTGAGCCACTGCCCGGCGGTTGTGCGTGCTGAGGTTGTGTCGGAGCATAAACCGGACCGCCCACTCATAAGAGATCTTGAACCCGCCCTCCAGGGACCGCCCAATCTTGGTGGCCTTCTGGAAGAGGGTCTCCTCGTTGACCGGCAGCTGCTGCTCTCGCTGGGTGAGGACCCACTCTGCCAGCTTCTCCTCGGCCTCTAAGCTCAGGTACTTGCCCTCGGACAGAGAGGCCACGTTCTCCTCCTGGAAGGCCTGGAACCTCCGCAGCCAGCGCCGGATCCGCCGGGGAGGGTTCTTGAAATGTTCCGCTGCCTGCTCGGTGTTACAGCAGAGAGCAAAGAGAACCACCCGGAGCTTTTTCACTGAGAGCTGTTCCTTTTTACCGGCTGGCTCAGGCACCTCCTTGGCCGGAGGCTCCCCTTCCTGCTCATCGACATTCAAGCACTCTTCCTGCTGGGCCGCCACGGCAGGTCTTTTCTCCACCTCGGCCTCCTCCGTGGGCACCTCCTCGTCCTTCTCGTCTTCGGGCAAAGGAGAGGGCACGTCCACAGGAGCAGCTGCGCTTACGGGGTACGTGGTGCTAGCAGCCTTCACGCTTTGGTCAAAAGGCTGAGCAGACCTGATGGCAGAGAAAGGAAGAGAGTAGGCCACACCTTGAGAAAGGAGGGAAGGGGAACGAAAAAGAAAAAGGGCAACACAAGAAGAATAGACAGAATCTGTCAGATGAGGAATTTAGGAAAACATACCTTGAATGGGAAATCCAAGTCGGAGCTCCTAAGGGGTTGGGGAGTGGGGGGAGAACAAAGGAATAAGATGTTACGCTTGGCAAGAACAACGTAAGCTCTTGTCCCTCATTCCTCGCCCAAACAGGAGTGCTGGAGGCAGAATCGCAGCCCACACCTCAGAACCTGTGGCCGGCGCCTGGTTCCTCCCCTCCCAAGGAAGGCCACGGGCCTTCTGAGAACAGAGAAGCAGGCCCTCCATCAGCAACGCCCTTGCCTACACCGGCCACTGCCGTTTTGTGTCACCGTACAGTGTTCCTCTTTAGAAGGCAAGAAAGCATCAACCGCGGAGAGCTCACAGGCTCTTCCCTCACTTTTGGCTGCCTGCCTTGCCTGTTTTCCCACCTCGCCTGCAAGTTTAGTCTTTCTCTTGACTGAGCTCCCTGGAAGAGGGCTGGGCTCTTTTGCTCTTGGCACCATGCGGGTGGGAAAGGCCCCTGTCCAAGCAGGCGGCCTCATCTTTCCCTCCTCTTCCCATCCGGAAATGCCACTGCTGCCTGAGAAACTGAAAGTGAGGAAAGCCTCCAATCTACCCAGGGGTGGGGGTGGGGGTGTTTGGCAGGTTCTGAAATGGAAACCCTGCTTCAATAGGCTTCAAACCCACAGAGTCTCAAAGCAGCTTCCTGCTGCAGCCCCCGAAGAGGCAGACGCAAAACGGCAAAGTGGTGGGGAGAAAGGCAGCCAAGAAGCACAGCCGCTAAGGGTGGCCCCGGACAGTGGAGCAGACACCACGAGCGAAGCACGCAAGCATGCCCCAAAGAAAGAGGAAGGCTTCTCTTCTCTCCCCCCCCCAAAAAAAAGACAGGGGGTGGAGGGTGTTGGGAGCACTCAACGGGTGGGGATTCTCGCCTGCAAGCGGGGGAGAGGAATGGGAGCAGCAGGAAAAGTCCAGGTGCCCGTTCTGTTCAAATTGAATTTCTACCTCAGAGAATTCCTACCTCGGAGAATGACGTTGCTGAACTCATGCGAGGGGTTGAACACCAGGTGCTTGGCCATCGCATCGCCTTCCGACGTGGCAAAGACGCAGGCCGAGCAGGCCAGCCGCACGCCGCTAGGAGAGGGGAACAAACGGGAGAGGAGGGTTACTACTACTCAGCTTGCTGCCAATGAACCACCACCATGCAAGGGCACTTCCTTCTCTACTGGTAAAAAACATTTATGTTCCCTGCCAATACATTATCTTGTTCCAATTTAGCTCCATGAAGACAAATTACAACCGGGGAGGAGGGGCTGCCCTTAAGACCCTGAGAATTTCAGTGCCCCTGCCAAAAGCCTTTGTCTCGGTGGGAGGGTGCAGTTTTCGAAAATGATGGATAATTCACTGCTAGTGATCCTTGCTTGCACCTTCAAGACCCAGTTCACTGGACTCCTTGGTGAAAGCGAAGAGTGGTTGGATCAGCGTTAGGCCAACAACACAGGGTTTCGCAGGAGACCCACCGAAGAGACGCAGGGTGAGGCTGCCCAAGGATATAGAGACAAAATGCTCTCTTACCAAGCAGTGTAGTTTTTGAACAAGGCCAAGTATTTCGGACTCTTGCGAGGAACGTGGTTGCTGTGAGGAAGAACAAGAGCACGTAAACAGAAAGAAACGGAAGGATGGCTTATTCTGCCAAGTGTGGATCCCCAATCCTCTTTCCTGCACTGTGCGGCCCAAAGTGGGACTGGCAAGCTTCCAAAGGTGCAAAAAGGCAACCTGTAAAGATGGGTCAATGGTTGGGTGCAAGAAGCCCCAGGCTCCTGTCCCAACGAAGGGAGAGCGGTGGCATCAGCAGGACAGAAGAAGCTGGTCGGGTCCCCCCCCAACGGGACGAGACCCCCTGAGGACACACAGCCAGATGGCCTTCTCTTCCCTCTGCCTTTGGGGTGACTCCTGGGAGAGGCAGAAAAGCGAACACGGGGACCTGCCGGGGCCCAGACCCCTCTGCCTCCTCTATCGTGTGTTCCTGAAGAAAGAGAGAGAGAGAGCCAGCCCGCCAGCCAGCCAGCCCGGGCTCCAAGGTGGGCTGCTCTGCCCTCCAGGCAGCAACCACCTGCTCCAGGACATCGCCCACAAATCCTTCCGAGGCACCATCGCTTAGCAGTGGCAGAGGCCATGGGTTGAACAGCTGCCATATCAGGTGCCGGGCTTATTGAGAAATCTGAAGCAGACCCTCTTTCTCCAATCAGACGGGGAAAAGGATGGTGGCTGGACCGTAAAACTCCCATCCGCTCTGGCAACCAGCCCTGCTTGCTAGGGCTGATGGGAGTTGTTGTACAACTGCACTTGCACGCCACACCCATCCCTCTCCTGGAGCCTTCCTCCCTCAAGCCGAACGCTCTTCTCCCCGAGAGTCCTCTAGCTGGCTAGACTGCTCGGCTGGCCTCTGCCCTCTTGGGCCACAAGAGGGGGATTCCCTGGGCCGGCTGCTGGGGGACCGAGCCCTGGATCCTCATCCTGGGCTGCCTGCGAGACACGTACTTGATCATGTGGTTGGCGTAGGCGCGTGAGCAGCAGGTGCTGTAGCGGCAGAGGGAACAGTGGACATAGGTGGGGAAGTGGTTGGGGAAATCCGGGATTTCGAAACTGCACTCCAGACACGTCTGCCGGCCCAGGACGCTCCTGCGGACAAATGGTGGGGGGGGGGGGGGTCAGCCGAGTCAGGGACCACTTTTTGCTGACCTCCCAAAATACTCCATATCCCAGCATCCCCAGGCAGAGCTGAGAAAGCCTCTTGCCTTTCTCCTGTCTTCATGGACAGCCTTTGGCCTAATGGGTCAACACACTCTGGTTTCTGAAGCCCTTCCTAAGTGTCCCCCCCCCCTCCCCGCAGTTCAGCTATTTTAAGGCTAACATTTAGCCTGGATAGTTCAAGGGAACAGCCCACTTTCTTTTGAAAAGGCCCTTCCACTTTCATTTAAACCCTGATTCAAACAGGCAACCTGGACCCAAGAGACAACCACCGCCCGCAGGGACCCTGTTAATCAGAAACATGGGACGAGGTGCTGACATTTTCCTGACGGCTTTCTTCTGGACGTTCCTCTGGAAAGGCGGGTACGGGAAGTTGGGCTGGGAATCCGAGGAGGCCGACAGCAAGGCAGGGTCCTGCAGGAGGCCGGGGAGCATGTCGCTGGCCGAGAGAGGCACCGCCCGCGGTTGTCCCCTGGAGGCCCGGATGGTCACCTGCCCCAAACAAGAAGGGGGAGCGTCAGGAAACAGAGACCCCAAAACACAGCCTCACACACACACACACACGGAAAGTCCAATCTCGTCAATAGTGTATCCAGGCGAAAAGCCGGTGCCTGGATATCTACCCCTACAAGAAGGGGCCACGTGAATATTTTCTAAATGCGGTTATAACAGAAAACTAATACAAAAACAAAAAAAGAAAAGGACACCAAGAACTGGTGAGTCCTTTGGGGGGGGGGAGGAAGACCATTCGCAGGTACGACGAGGCCAGAGCAGCGGCTCCACAAGCGGGCTAACCGCCCTGCCTGACCACCTGTCCTGTGGCTGAATAATCCTGGCTCGCACCCACCACCACGATCAGTCACGTTTTCCTCCAGGAGGCGATCAACCGTTCCTAGGCGGCCCCCTCCCCGCCAATGCTCCCCCCACGGACCCAGCCCCACAAGCCGCGAGTACCTTGGTCCCTGGCTTCAGCCCCTCCAGCTGCTTGGGCTTGCGGAAGGTCTTGTGGTGCTGCAGCTTGTGCTCGATTTTGTCCTTGGCAAAGAGGAACTGCAGCCGACACTTGTTGCAGTGGTAGACGCTCTTCTTCTGCAGGAGGAGGCAGAGCGGAGAGTTGGTCCCTAACGGTCGACTCAGAGGCAATAAATTAAAAAAAAACAACTCTTCTTGGATCTGGACGGCAACGATCCTGACTGCTCGGCCCTTGTGGGGAGACTTTGGGCTGCGAGGAACACAATTCGGACCAGGGGCCCATAGGAAGGAACCAGCACAGCAATGGGACAGCCCCCTCCCTCAGCCCCTGCCCCCCGGGGGCCTCTCTCTCCTTCCTGCCCTGCAGGGGAATCCTCCACCCGCTGCAGCAACAAACGCAAGCTTAGGCCTTTGCCTGCAATACTGGATGGCCGGCTGGCCGGCTCCTCCAGTTTTCTCCCTTCCTCTTAAGACTTCCTGCCCAGCCAGTGGTGGAGAACGGACTCCTAAAGAAGGGCTCCATCGGACACAGAGCAAGGCGGCACCTCTGGCAAAAACTCAGCAGGACCCGGTGGCTGTGGCTCTGTCTCTCTGTCTCTCTGTCTCTCTGTCTCTGTGTGTCTCTGTGTGTCTCTGTGTGTGTGGGGGGGGGACAGCAGGACCCGGTGGCTGTGGCTCTGTCTGTGTGTGTCTGTGTGTGTGTGGATTTACCTGATGCCTCATGAAGTGCTGCTGGAAGGCGTTGCCGTTCTTGAACACCTTCAGGCAGTAAGGGCAGAGGAGGTGCCGCGTGTCTTCGTGGACCATCCGGAAATGGCTGTCCACCTCGGAGTAGAGGGACGAACGGTACTGGCAGACCTGGAGAGAACCAGGAGCAGGACAACCTTTAAAGCACCCAATGTCCTCAGCCTCACCCCAGAGGCCCCCCCCACGCCCTCTCAGGAAAGAGGGGGAGGGGCAGCCCCTTCTCAGGGGTGGCGCTTCCTTGGCAGAATCCCCTCTCCAGAGAAGACCGCCTGGAAATAACATGGCCATCCTTCTGGGGCCGGACAACTGGCCTTTTTATTCTCCCAGGCACATGCATTTTCTGATTTTTATCATCTTCTTTTATGCCTTTATTTTGCCCTCGGTTTTTCTAAACTACCCAAGAAGCTCTACTGAGCGATGATTGAGATATAGATATATATACTGTATATGCCTTTTAAACCACTGGTCAGCAACTGTGGCCCTCCAGGTGTTCCAAAATCCATACTGTAGTCAAACTTTTGCTCCCCAGAAACACAGTTACGCTTTATGCAACTCATTGTCAGAGGTTATACTGCCCAAGCACACACACAGAAGTTCCATGGCTAACGTTTATGGATTTGGATCCCGGCTGGTTTCTGGTTTTCTTCCTGCCGGGGCCACCCCATACCTGGCAGACGTAGGGCATCTCTCCTGGCTTGTGGGTGTCCTTCATGTGCTGCAGGAACATGGGCTCACTGTCAAAAGCCCACTCGCAGATCTTGCATTTTGCTGGAACACAGAGAAAGCAGGAGAGATTTGGGGGTTGCTATAAACCAGGGTAAACTTCTGCAAACCAGTTTCACGTGATGGCTGAGCCGAGCTGAGAAGACTCATTTTTATGATCTCACACCCCCTCACCACTTTAGTAAGCTTCTCTGGCATTAAGAAAATTAAAGTATGCAAAAATTAAAGAGAAAGCCATTTGCTTAATGAATACATGGTAGTGCAGAGAAGGGCTTCTTTTAAGGTTCCAGACCCAAAGGTAACCTATGACTGAGTCTGTCCAGTTGAAAAAGGTATCTTCATTCCATGTTTATCCTGGTCTGCATCTCCCTCTTCCTCTTTCCTATCCTGGTTCTCAAACGCCAACTTTTAGACAAACAGATTTTCTCCACCACAAAGGACAGGTGGAGCTTTGTGGTGCGCATGGGGGGGGGGCTCCTCTCCTGCATACCAAACCTGACTGGAGAGGCAGTGGCCCGCCCCTTGCCACCCGCCCCATCCTGACTCCACTCTCCGGGACCAAAACCTACTGGTCGATTCGTAGGGGCTGTGGACATTTTCCAGGTGGCACTGCAGTTGGAAAGGTGTGGTGAACTGCCGGTAGCAGTGCTGGCAGATGGTGTGGACGTCCACCTCCCCGTTCTGCTGATCCAGTTCCACGTGGTGCTTCATATGATTCATAAACCTGCCGGTCAGAAAAGAGTTGCCTGTGACAGCCTGCACAGGTACGCTCGCAGGAGTTCTGTGGCTCGCCACTTTCCTGGCTGTGTCCAGTTCATCCGCCCCATTTTGCCCCCGGAAGCACATTCCCCTCAATGGAGAAAAGGCCAAACAAAGGCCTGGCACTTGTCTGTGGCCGCTAGGGGAGGAGCTCTTTCAAAGCAGCATCCGAAGGCCGGATGGGCTCCTGCAGCCCCTTCACCTCAGGGACGACAAGGCTCCATCCGCTGCCAAACTTTTAAGAGACAGGGCTGGGAAAACAGGCTGCTCCTCATGCCACGACCAACCTCTTCCTGAACATGGCCTTTGAAGGGAGAGAAGCGTCCCTGGAAAGCTTCAAGGCTGTTTGCTTCCAGGAGCCTCAGCTTCAGAGGGCCCCGTGGGTCTCTCCCCCGACACCCCCACCCCCAACGCCGCCCCCCACTTTCTCCCACTGCCCTTACCGGATGTTGTTCTTGAGCCTCTTGGTGCAGTGCGGGCAGCGGAAGGAGGTGGGCACTTTGGGGAAGCTGATCAGCTGGCTGACTTTGCCGCTGTCCCGGCCGTAGTAGAAGTCATCCACGAGCATGATGAGCTTGCTCTGCGCCCCATCGCCCAGGCCGTCGCTCGGCTCCGAGACTTTGGCAGGCGGGGACAAGGCGGGGATCGGGGTGGAGGAAGGGGGAGATGCAACCGCGGCCGTTTTCTCCGGGGAAGGAGGCTTCGGGGTTTGGATATTTGGTTCTGACTCGAGGGGTTTTCCTTTTTTCAGGAATTCCACCATCTCAGGACAGCAGTACTGCAGGGAACAAGAAAAAGCAGCCCCTTCAGCAGTGAAGTCGGAGGTGTGAGGCATATTCCACACAACGTCTGAGGTTGGTGTAGCAGCTATTCACATCAGAAAGAGAGACAGGTAGAAGGATGATGCCTTTGGCCTGCCTCTGCCACCTGGCCTTCGTGAACGCTCTCTCTGTAAACAGCAGCTCTACACAATCATTGTGGGTGTTAGCCACTGGACATCTCACTGGCTTTGGAAAATCGCTACAACAAGCATCAAAACCAACACACCCTATGGAATCCTCGCCTCGCCTCGTTTTGCTCCCAAATGCACCACGAGATCTCACCCGGAAACCCTCAAGGAAGACACAAGGGCAGCCTCCTCCCCTGTCCCTGGCATCTTGCATAGAGGACAGACAGCCTCTGACATAGATAAGGGAACTACAAAGGGAAGAATCCACAAGCAGGCCTATTCTACGAAACCACCTGCTTTCCAAGGTCGCCCCAGAGAAAACTCCAGGTAAGGATCCTGGCTCTCTCTCCCTGCCCCTCGGAGCTGAAGGATTCCGGCCTCGGCTGCCTACCCCAGCCTCCACTTTGGGGATGCTCTTCGCTCGGCCACCATCATAGCGAAGAAAAGAAGAGAAGGGTGTTACTTACGCACATATGGCCTCTTAAAGCTTCAGTGACTCGAAACTGGGCATTGCACCGGGGACAGACTTTCCGCCCGCTCTCCTGCAAGTCGAAGGCGGGGATGGGTGAGGAACTGACTGTAAGGAACAGACACAGAAGGAAAGGTCACAGCTGGAATTCACAAGCTCTGGCGTTCTTTTTAAAACTTCTTATTCAAACTGTTTTTTTGTTTTGTTTATTGTTGTTGTTGTTTTGGAAGGGGGAGGGAATATTGCTCTTTCGTAAGCAGAAGGGAGGCCCAAATGTAACAGCACCTTCTGCTGCCCCAAATCAATTCCAAAAATTCAAACTGAATCTTTGAAAGAGTTCCAGTTACAGATGGACGGCTTCCAGCCTTCACAGGTGGAGAGATGACAATATAAGCCTCGGGTTATAAAGCCCCTATTCAAATCCTGTCTCTCCCACAAACATAGCAGTTTGCCTTTTGGCAGGCCAGCTTCCATCAAACCTTTCAACGGCAGAGCTGGAAGGGACCCGAGGAATCATCCAGTCCAGCCCTTCTCAAGAAGGCACAGGGGAGGAATCAAACTCCCAACCTCTGGCTCCGCAGCCAGAGACTTACGCCCTTCCTCTGTCCCAGAGCACGAACATGGTTACTGGCAGAGGATGGAATAGACCGACCCGTGAGGGACCTGGTCAAGAGCAGAGGAACAGCCTTCGGCCCCTCCCTTCTTGGGAGGAAGGGCGCCCACTGAGCAAACCAATACATAAGGGAAAATGCTGCCGTGGGAATCTGGCAGCCTGGCCAGGTTGACAGAAAGGCAAACTGGACACCCAAGACAACACGATACCTACTTCTACCCTCCTGAATTGGGGCACGGCCCCATCCCTCTTCCTGGACGCTTTCCAGCCTCTGCTACTTCCCTGCTGCAGGCAGTCTGTTGAGGTGCCTTTCCCACCAAGGTGTGGCCACTGAACAGACTTAACCCATTAGTGTGCATTCACAAAGGCCACAAAAGAACAGCCACGTTCACTCACCAAACCGGGGCGGGGGGGAGAAGGCTCCAAAAGCACCCTGCCTCTGTGGAACAAGCAGGGCTGGCACAGGGCAGGGAAGTATCCATAGCTCCACTTCCAAGATGGGAATGAGGAGTCCCTCTCCCTCCCCCCTGGATCTCTCCCTCCCCCCCCCACACACACACCTAGAGAGAAGGCCCAAGCAGCACAGACTGAAAGGCAGCTCCGGACACTGAGGCGGAGGGCCCTGTCCCTCTCTGGGCTCCTCAACGCCTTCACCTACCTTTCTGTGACGAGGAGTCGGAGGCACCTGCCCGCTGGGAGGCATGAGCCGGGCTGTTGTTGGAGAGGACGATGGGGCCGGAGCTCTGGCCGAGGGAAGGAACCGTGTTCAATGTGTTCACCAGCTTGGCCACCTCGTTGTTGTTCTCTCCGGTCACCCCGGGCCTTTTCACCGTCACAAAACTTGCAATGCTCACTGAGCCAAGGGGAGGGAGGGAGAAATGAAATGAAAGAAAGGAAAGATTTTATTCAGTGAAGTAAAAAAGATGGCACAGAGGTAGAGTTATACCCAAAATGTCAGTCCCAGTGACGCTCTGCAGGAGCCATACAAGAACGCTGCCTTTTGTAAGTGTGAAACTACCACAACTGCGAGAAGAAAAGGTCCCCTCCTGGTCCTGTGATCGCATTGTAACACAGCAGCTGGGAATCAAAGCCATCTTCAAAAACTCATGGCCCTTCACTTTCTGGCTGGCTGAACTATCAGCCAGACCCCGGGGTCCCTGAGTCAAAAGCCCTGTTCAGCCTCGGGTATGAAGACCACCGAGAGCCCAGGTTTTCTCTCTGCCGCTCAGCTGACCTCACTTCTCCACAGTGGCCAGGACAGTGGGTGAGGAGGGCAGAAGAAAAGAGAATGCCCCAAGGTTTTAAGAGGGAGGGCAATACGCAGATCAAAAACGGCAAATATTTTAAAACTCAGAACCCAATTAATATTAACCCCTGAAATTGGTAGCTTTGCATACATACACATTAAAGGAAGCAGGAGAGCTTCATCGTAATTACTGTTACTTCTCCAAAGGACAAGAGGCAACGATGCGACCTTTGCACAGTAATGGAGAGACCATCACCAAAAAAAATGGTACAGTAGTTTTGAAGTCTGGTCCATCTCTGCCACTCATTGTGGCTACTTTGGGGTTGTGAAAGGCAGATGGGTGAGTCTCCGTGTTTCCTTTCTGTTCCCCACCTGAAAAGTGCGCTCTGCACCACTCAAGAGCAGTACAGGACCGTCCAGCTTTTTTCTCAGAGGATGTTACCACAAACCAGGCAGTGGGAGACAGCCACCCTCAGCTGACAGCCCAAATCCCATGCCCTCAGGCAGAGATGATGAGGATGAGGAAGATGGGGATGAGGATGTACCTTACAATGGATGGACTTTGGCGGCGGCAGGGGGTCAGTCCCAGCTTGTTTGGATGTATGATATAATGGGGTGTGGTTTTTTGTTTGTTTCTTTTTTGGTTTCGTTTGAGTCGTGTCATGTTCTCCCCATGGGGAATCTTACCTAATTTAGGGTTGGGAGCTTGAGTGGACTGCCCTGGCTGTTGTACCGTTAACGGTCCCAGCGCGCTTGGCTGCGTTGCCGTAGGAGTGGTGGAGGTGCTGGGAGAGGACTTACTTTGTGGCTGCGCCTGGGTCTGCGGGACCGTGCTCCGGATGGTCAGGGTGGCCGGAATGACCGTCGTGAAAGTGTTGGAGGACGGTCGGACCGGCATGGCTGGGCTAGGTCTCACCTGGGCCATTTGGGAGAAGACCTGAGGGACGCCGACAGTGGGTTTCACAAACTGAGTGCCTGGGGCTGCAGGAAGCGAGACGAGGAAATATTGAAATTACCGGGGCTGCCCATGTCAGATTGATTAAAGTGGTTAGACCAGCACGCCCCAAAGGGCGACAGGCCTCCGGGGACATTGGGAAGACAATTCCCATTCTTCCATCAGCCCAGCCCACGTGGGCACCAGATGGAGTAGTCCGGGCTGTGTATGGTTTACCTAAATCCCTATGCGTTACTTAAGGTGTTCTTTGGCTGCTGCAAAAGGGGTGGGTCCACCTGCCCTTTCTGACATGCACCTGCCTTGCGGGCAGCTGTCTTCCTCTACCCCCACCCCCAGCTTCCTCGCTCGGGCTTACCTGGGACAAGGGTAATGGGCCTGACAGTCTGACCCTGTTGTACATTCAGCACGATCCCCACCTGATTCATGGTGTTTTGCACAGGCCGGACGTTCCGGACAGGAAAACCCTGCATCACACAAAACGCAAACCCATCTCAGCATCAGAAGGGAGTACACATTTAGTTGGTGCGACCGCCAGGGCCAGAGTCAGTCCGCCCCAGGAGATCGGTCGGTAAAGAAAAGGATCAGGAAGGTGCTGTTCTACCATGGAACAGAATACCATGTTTAGCGGGGCCTTCGGCCTCAACCACCAGAGATCCTCTTACATTTTTCTGGAGGGAGATCGCCTGACTGGCTGGCCTACGGTAACTCTGCAACCACACAGGCTGCAGAAAAATTAATCGTATCTGAACTGAAAAATAAAAAACGAGCTGGTTTTTATCCTTTTGCACATATATCCCACCTTACCAGCTGTGAATAACTGCTTGAAAAAATACGCCAGTTCAGAAGCCAGGCTTTACTGCCCGTACGGCTCCTCACAACATGCCAAACTAACATGAAGTAGCAAAAGGGTAATCACGCACTGCTGTAAACGCCATTTCTTCTCCTCAATGGCAGGCTGCCACAAAAAGAAAATGGCAGGTTGCACAAAGTTTCAGAGTTAAACACAATTCAGATATATCTTTTAAAATTGCTCAGAATTTTTGTTTAAAAAAAATCAGTATTGACAGGGGTGTATTATCAGTCGTCACCCATGTCAGGTCTACAGTCAATGACATCAAACATTTAGAGACTTTTAAGGAGACACAGCTGTGGCAAGCATAAACCAGGCGCCCCTGGTCATCCCCAGGAAGCAACCGCAAATTCTGGATTTGCTTCCAAGGTCCTCTGCTCTTGATACTTCTACCTCCAGTGGTTTGGTGAAGCCACATGAAGAGATTCTTCTGGCTGGAGATCATCTCTGACAGGTAGATTTGACTGGCACCAATTCTTATCCACTTGGAAACAGCTTACAGCTTGCTCTGGCCCCCAACACTTTTGAATTAGGGACTGCTGGCTCCTGCCTTTAAATCCTAGTGGCATTTTAATAAATGCTGTTTCATTATCTTCCACTGCCTGTTTCATACCAACATTGTTAGTAGACTGCTCTAGGCACGGAGAAAGGTAAATCTTTTAAGTAAACAAACAACTTGTTTGCATCCCTGTTTGGCATTTAATCAGCCAGTCCTACTTCTGACTGCATCTGGCAATCTTCCAGAAACTGATGAATGAACTTGCAGCCGGCTCCCTTGGGAACTGGGAAGCGCAGCATACACAGAGGGCTGCTTCCCACGGTTCTCTTCCTATCTGAACAACAACGGGGTTTCCCAAACCACAATCCAGACTGACCTCTGTGGTGCTTTTAAGCGCATTACGACCCATGCTGTTTCTGACACCAATTCCGCGAGCAAGTTTCCTTCCTTTAAAGCCCTAAACCCCCTTCGGATAACTGAAGGACTGCCTTCTCCTCCAGACAACTACCTAGCCAATAAAAACGACCAGCCAGGAAGGTCTTTCTGCACATCTCACCTATTTCGGAAGAATATTTGGTGCCAACTAAGGGCCTTTTCTGTGATTTAACTCAGATTACAGAATTCTGGGTCCTTTTAGGAATAAAGGCGGGGTAAAAACATTTTAAATAAGTAGCATTTAAATAAATTCTTTATCCTACAAGCAACATATGGCATCTTCCTTGCTATTTTTCCACCATTCTGAAAACATTTTTTTAATTTTTGGTTGACGTCTGTTTGGTTATGTATAACAAGTTTTATTTCTTTTTCAGTCTCTCTCTGTGTGATGTCATTATCCCAAAGGAACAAAATTATTTCACTGTATCTTTTAACTTAATCTATGTCAGTGTTTCCCAAAATGTGAATAAGCACCAAGAACTGGCTCACAAAAGTTGGAGAAGCCCACAGAATCACAACCATTGTCATAGAAGAAAACCTAGAGATTACATTCAGGGGTAGAACAGGGAACGACGCAGCCCGTTGTAGCCCAGACTAGAAGCGCCCGCAGCAAAGGGTCCCTGCGATGCCCACAGAGCCTCAGGGAGCCTGGGGAAGGTGGCCTCACCTGCGTTGTGATGAAGATGGGCTGGCTGGTCACAGGGGAATTAGTAACGTGGTTGGCATTCTGCATCACCTGCACGGGCCGGAGGACTGGCTGCGTCACTACCGTACTTAGACCCGAGGCTGGGTTCTGCGTGAGGATGAGCGGCTGCCCGCCTTGCTGAACGAGAGGTGTGCCGGCTGGAAGGGAGAGGAAAAATGAGCCAGCTCCTCACGCGAGACGGTGACCTTCCCCTCCCCACCCTGCACAGTCACATTTTGGATCCTCCATTTCAAGGGTCTTCCGAAACCCAGCTCAAGCGCTCTTTCTCCTCACCGCTGTTGTTCGCAAAGAGTGTCACCAGGGTCTTCTTGGCACTGTCGCTGTTGGGCGGCATGCTGCCGCTGACGGACGTGGGCGTCGGCAAGCCACCGCCGATGGACGCGTGGGCAACGATGGGCATTGGGGTGGCAACGGGCTGCACGCTTACTGAAACTGCCAGGAAGGAAATGCAAAAGGGTTATATATCGCCTGCAGGGGCACCTCTGTGGAAGATCCACGTAGGACCCTTTCACCTGCATGGATAGTCCAGAGGCAAGATGGTCACTGAAAAGTGTGGGGCCTGAAATCAGAGGGGCAAGACTGGGCCCGGGTTTGAGAGCAGGCCCACAGGCACCAGCCTTAACTCGGAATCACACAAGTCCCACCCAACAGTCAGTCTAAAGAATTTAGAAACCTAACTCTGCACATAAGAGTTTATTTTTATTGCATTTTTATGCTGCTTTTCTCCCAGACTTGAGGCATCTCAGAAACATTCCACAATACAGCTCTCACTCTCACGGTGTGCATTTTTTTCTACATGCAGGGTTTTAAGGCATTTTTTGTACCCTACATCGGAGCACTCACTCAGGGGACACCCTGATCCCCAGGTCCATCCGCCACAGTACATCCTGAATACAGTGCAACCCACCATCAGCACCATCTACTGGGCATCAGGACTAGACTGTGTATTTTCCTCTAAAAGGGCATCCACTTGTTAAGCTCAAACTGAAACTGTTCTTGACAACTGCCAGAAGGCAGGGAAGGAGCAAATCGGAGCAGCCAGACAAGAATATGAGCTAATAAATGTACCAATCTGTTACACCCACAAGGACAGTCATAGCCAAGAAATAAATGTGGAGGTTTTTCCCCCCCCTTTGCATGCCAGACTCAAGAGTATGGGATGAATCAAAGTAGAAAAAGCAACTAAATGTTTTCCAGGGCTTTCCTGAGGTCCCTTCTTGCCTGAGGCTTTCAGCAAATTATACTCTATAGAGATGGCAGATCACAACCATGTCCTCCACTAAGGCAGAAGACACTGGAAGATCTCTTCCTCCAGGGCTCGCTCTCGCTCTCCTTTCCTCACTCTGCACCGCTTATATTTACACTGCATTAGCCATTATGGCGGGGGCTATAAAAAGGGCCACAATTCTGAAGCCTAGCACTCAGCACCCCAAGAATTTCCTTTCCTCTGACCACTTTTTAAATTATCTCCAAAAAGCTCTGTTTCTAAACACATGCTTACTTTTGTCATCTGACTGCAGATGCCATGATTGAACTGGGGACCTTCAGCTGGCAAAGCTCAGGCTTGGAAACCAAGCGAGCACCTGATTCCCAATCTATAGTGGCAGCCATTGGCCTTTTTCTTTAACTCAGGGACAGAGGGATGGGTTCAGCTTGGGGGGGGGCGTCAAGAGGGGTCCCAGGAAAAGCAGCTTTCTGGAAGGAAGGGTCTCAGTTACATTGACTATTACAAGTAGAAGGGAAAAATAAGAGAGAGGAGTGTGGATAATTTACCTTTGTCATTTATTCATATCCCATTGACCCTCACAAAGAGCCCAGCACATCTAAAAAATAACTACTTATCTTCTCATTCAATGTCAATCAGCCATTATATGTTGAGACCACCCTTTTCCACAGCTCATAAAAGGCCTACATAAAAGACCGGAAGTTCCACATGAACACACAACATAGAAATACCATTAAGACCCTATTTCTAAAATCAAAGATAGTAAACATCTGAAGTGTCAGCCCATCTGCTTTAAAGTTCGCACAATCAAACATGTTTTCGACAAACAGCTAAACAACAGTGCTGATGGAGAAGATTTGTACCGACAAGTCATTCCGCCGCTGGCGTGCCACCACCTGCGAGGCCCTGACGCCCAGGGTTGCCTTACAGCCCATGCTCACCCAGGGCACAACGAGCAAAGTTGCTCTGAGCAGTTCCAAACCCCAGGCTTGTTAGAGAACGGATGGGAGCATTTCATCAAACCGGATTTTAGCTGGTCATGGCCAGCATCACAAATGAATTGCTCAGGCCAGACTGTTGTCCCCCAAAGACACAAATAGACTCTACCTGTGCATTTTGAAAGCAACAAGATTCAAAAAAACAGTACTAACAGAAACCATCTGATGATATACACCCTGACAACTGGAGTCTTTATATTTGGTCCACTTAGCAGACTGTTTTATTGTCCTCGGATATGAAGCTGACATGTGACATAATCTAGCAACTGGGTATTGTTTGATGATTTTTTTGTCGTTGTTTGGAAAAGGGGGAATAAAAGGAGGGAAAGGATTGTTACCTGTAGCAGTTTTGTCCACTGAATTGTAGTCTTCGACCACAGAGTCCTCGATCACGTCGCTGATTTTCTGCCACGGCTCCAATTCTTCCTCCTCACATTCCATAAACAGGTCGGTGTCCGCCATCCTTGAGTGAAAGATAAAAGAGAGAATGGCCCAGTGCACCTTTCTTTGCCTCATGAGGGGCCGAGGTTTCAGCTTAGATGGGTCTCTCTCTCGAGCCACCGGTCCCAAACCTGCAGACTGACCACAACCAGCCTGCAGATCACTAAGAGGCCTCTGGCTTCTGCTGCCACCAACTACAAGTCCACCCCAAGGTTTCTGAACAAGATCTGTGTGCCATTTGATAAATGTCAAAGGGAATTGTTTGGTCATTTATTTTCATCCACTTAAACCTTACCAATGCTACGAAAGGTAATAAAGGAACTGATTACTACTTTTTATATGCTACAAACCACCTGTAATGTTTCTACCAGCCATGGTTTACATTATGCTCTATGCCTCCCGTGGAGGCTTCAAACATCGCACAGAGCGGCCACGGACATGCTTCCAGTCAGGTGGCAAGTCCTCTCCCGTGGAGGCTTCAAACATCGCACAGATCGGCCATGGACATGAAGGGGGCTTCCGGTCAGGAGGCAAGTCCCAGATCTCTCCTTACACAAACTCTGCAACTGCTCAAAATTTTTCTGGGAAGGTGGGCAATGCCAGAGTAGAAACCAATATATGACAGCACTGTTTTTTCTACCATATAGCTCACTTCCATCTGATCCGTGAAGCATTATTCAGAATTTAAGGTTTATCTAGAGAACACATGACAAGGGTGGAAGTGCAAAGATGTGAGCTCAGAGAGAAAATGAATCCAAAAAGTACTGATAGTGGCAACTGCATTATCTTCCCTGGGCTAGTACCTCTTTTCTCAGCCTCACAGGATTGTTGTGAGGAGAGAAGAAGGGAGAAGAGGCCAAGATGTGCTGCCTTGGGCTTGTGCAGGGAAAGACTACAAACAGAACACATAAATGCATCCACGTGCTGCCACAGAGAGCCACAACTAACCTCGACAGAAGTCTGGTACTGGAGCAACCCGCCTGCTCCCCATAGGCAAGAAGGAACTCTATGCAACACAGGATTGGCGGCAAAAGGAGAGACCACTGTGGAAAAAGTGTGGTGTGTGCACCTTTAAATTTTAATGCACAAATACATGTGAGTGTCAGGCCTGAAATACTCAGGCACACAAACCCGCATTGCTTTAGCTCACCATGAAACACCTAAGAAACACCTCTCAGCCATTCCATTTATGCTTTTTCTCCTCTTTGCCCATTTCTGAGATCTCAAAACTCCTATGCTAAATAAAATGATTTAATCTCACTAATAAAGAGTCCAACATTACATCTTCCATCTCAACACCAGACATTCCTTCCTCTCTTTTTTTTCCTGCCCTGTCTCTATACTGCGTGCCCTTTCTGTTTTGTCTCCTACTGGGCCTAATTCCACAATGGAAATTCTGATGGGCCAAGGTGGAATCTGTTATTTTCATTTAGAAATAAACATACCATATTTTTTACTCCATAAGACGCACCTTTCCATAAGACGCATCAATTTTTTAGGAGAAGAAAACAGGAAAATATAATCTGTTTTCTTCGCTCCATAAGACACACAGACTTTCCACCCCCCTGTTTTGTGGGGGGAAAGTGCGTCTTATGGTGCAAAAAATACGGTACATTCTTCTTCTTTCTCCACTGCACTCTCCAATGCCAAATTGGAGCAATTGGAGCAATAGCCCCCTCCGCATGCAGTGAAGGCGTTATAAAGATCAGCACAAATCATCTTTTGGGGTCTCTGTGGCATCCCTTCTCTTGGCCATCCTGCAAGCGCTACTTAACAGAAACCTCAAAACACGCAGATGGGAGTGGCAAAAAGGCACACTTGATCAACGGAACAAGAAGCCCAGGAAAAACACGAAAGCAACTTTGGAGCCATGAGCCTGCCAGCCAGCCAGTCTGTCTAGGAAACTGGCACTCCTTTTCCAGCAAGGAGAAACCATGCCAGTCTGCTTTTCAGATATTAGAGCCAGGATGAAGAAAACAGATCCAGGCTATGGGAACATCTTAACTCAAGAAGCAACACAGCCAAACCAAAAAAAAGGAACCGCTTTGTAGAGAAACATATTTTCCAGCCTATAAGTCCTACATGCAATACAAGGCAGAGTGCATCCCTTGATCTTGCTCCTTCCTGCTTTCCTAGTTTTACTACCTTTCCCTGCATAACTTTCTTTTCCATCTTAAAAGAAGATCCAAGCAAAAAAGAGAAGGTACAGATAGCAGAGGGCTATTCTCCATAGACGACATGCAACACACTGGATACCCCGTCCAGGGATCCACCAGGCCAGGGACAGGGAACAGGTGACCCTCCAGGTCTTGTGAGACTGGAACGCCCAGCACCCCTTAATATTGGTTATCCTGGGTACAGCAAATGGGAACTGCAGTCCAGCAGCCTCTGATTCCACAGAATTCACCAACAAGAACATCCAGAGGGATCCCCGAGTAACAACCAAATATCCCGCAGCATCTTAAATATAACCAGATTTATTGTAGCACAAACTGTTGTGGAGTAGAGATCTGCTTTTCCAGACTTGAGAAAAAGGAGCCACAGTCTGTAAAAGCTTCTTCCACAGGAAAGACAGTAATGTTTAAAACACCTCATGACTCAATTATTTTAAATTTACAGCATGGTGATCATTTCAACCAATGTGCCAGCTCCCTAAAATACAGAACCTTTTTTTTTACTGAATGGTAGCTTAGAAAATTTAAATGTCTACAGAGACCTTTTTTCTTTATTTATAAAACAGCCACTAACTTAAAAAAATGTATGTGTGGTTCCCCACCCCCTTCCTTGTGCAACAGAAAGGAAAGTATGATAATTACGACCATCTACGGATGCGTTAACAATGTTATAGCAGCCAGCTAGGTATTACAGGGGTGAAGACAGAATAGCTCTCAAAAGGACAAGACCATTTCCAGATCAAGTTCTTGATGTAAATTTCTGGAATCAAAGACCCAAGAATTCTACAGAGTTCCCATGCTACCTTTGGGTCACTTGAATTACTTACCCAAATATTCCAGTTACCAAGAAGCAGCTTCAGTTTCAAAACATACACACATTTATGAAACAGGCTTAGAAGAAACTGTCATATGATAGATGTACTTCTGGCTGAAAATACGCACTTGAGAGCACTAGCGAACAGGACACCTGATACTAACTGCACATAAAAACAACAATACAGTACACTCCTATGCAGGTTTATTTATTGGGAAGTTCTACTACATTCAGGACTAGGACCGAAATGAGCATTAGAATAATACAGTCCAGGATCCAGTAAGATTCAAAATCTATATTAATGACCTATGGACCAACCCAATTATGTTACAGCAAGACATGCAACCACTTTTGAAGATATGCTGAAAATTCAAAATGATCTGAAATTAAGATATCTATCTAGAACTAAACACAAGGGCCAAAATCTTATTGCTTACATATGCTGAGGTAGGCCTATGGCACAAATCAGCGATTAGTTGACAGCCAAGAAGCCGAGATGTATCCCCTCTTCAGTAAGGAAAACAACTACACAAACATACTTAAGCAAGAGGATTCTGGCCCAGAAGAGCCACACAATGGAAAACCAAGTGGGTTGGTGTTGTGAGATGAGGTATACCATATCACCAGCTATTAGGGAAGGATTCAGGAACTACAGTGAGGTAAACTGAATACAGTGGACCCTTGACTTACAGACGGCTTGACTTGCAGACTTTTTGAGTTACAGACTTCTCTGGCCGCAAAATTTAGGTTTGACTTGCAGACTGAGATTTGACTTACAGACCAGAAAAAAAACAAAATGGAACAAAAACGGCCTGTTATGGGATTAATTGGTTTTCAATGCACTGTAGGTCAATGGAGACTTGACTTACAGATTTTTTGACTTGAGAACCGCCTTCCAATACGGATTAAGTTCTCAAGTCAAGACCCCACTGTATGAGTAAACAATAAGTTGCTATGATACCAAGGTACAATGCCACATTAGGAGGCATCTGTGGAAAATCAGGAACAGGACTCCAGAAGCCACGCGACCGCCCTACGCAGGATCCGTAAGACCTCCTCTGCAATAAGGTATTCTGTAAGCTGGGCCCAGTAGAATGAGCTACAGTAACTCCCTATATGATTTTAGATAACCTAGCATTTTGAGCATTCAGGAAAAATGTTACACAATTATTATGTATCCCTGGGGACTGCAACTTATGGCAACTGCATACGCAAGTTTCCTTGGCGAAAGGACACAGTGCATTCTTTCCCCCAGATAATTAACACAGGGATACTTTCTCCCTATGGGGAGAAAGGTGGCATATAAGTAATTTAAATAAATCATAAGCATGCACTTGTCCCATCACAACTTAACACAGATAGGAAGCCGTTCTATGGGTCAAATAGCAACAATGTGCAGTTTGTACACAGCGTAAGCCACCTGCACAACAGTCACACCTCACAATTTCTACCCACAGGCACTTGGTGGTTGGTGCGTGAGACTTTGGGGCATATTTGTTGCAAACTGACATGGGAAAGAGAGATCCACATCACATACACACACATATGGCAGCAATGTTTCAACCTGGTGCTTAAGAGGATGCACTGGCCTGGTCAGGGATGATAGGCTTTGTAGGTCTACCCACCTGGACAGCACCAACAGGGTGAACAAGTGGTACAATGAAGCATCTCCACTTTTGTGCCAAGGATCAAGAGGGAGCTTGGAAAACACATTAACTTCTTCAGACTGTAATTTCCAAAGTTGATTCTAAGGGAAGGGGGCCCCAGAAAGGAACATCCCCAGCTTCTTGGGGACACTGTTTCCGCCGCCCCCCCCTTGAGGTCCCTGATCCTAATCAGGTCAGATCAAAGGACGATGGTGGGTTCTTTACTTAATTTGATTCCCTGGAGAAAGGGGGGCCAGCCAGCCTGCCAGGATCAGGGCGACAAGCTCTCTTCTCCTCCTGCAAACCCTGCCATGCCAACAAGGCCCACCACCCCTCATTTGTTTCTTCCTGTTCAAGATAAATTCAAAGCCCCCCCACCGCAATAAAGGGCCAAGAAACCATCCCTTATTCCTCACAGGGTCAAAGCAACATCTATTTTTATTTTTCAAAAGCACCCACCCACCCACCTACCTCACGCCACCCCCATGTTTTATGGTGTGTTGTGTGTCTTGGGGAGGGGGGGGAAGAGAAAATAATCCGTGGCCAACATGGCCGCCCAGCCCAGGTCTGAGTTGCAGAGCTTAGCAAAAGGGGGGGGGAGAGACTGAAGCCCTGCCTCGTTCCCGCAAACTAGGGGGGCGCAGACTGTGGTGCTAGCCAACGGGTACCTCTGGTTTTTATGCTGTGGGTCACTTCTGCTTCACGACCACCGAGCCCCTCTTAGCAACCGTGCTAGGTCTGAAGGGGGGGGCTAGAAAAAGAGGGCCGGCCCAGAGAAGGCGGAAGGAGCCGCAGAGAACCAGGCCGCTTCACCCATTTCGCTCTAGTCCCGCCCCTCGAGGCGGAGGAGGAGGAGGAGGAGGAAGAGGGCAGTCCCGGGTATCCCTCCGCGCCCTCCTCTCGCAACCACCACAGCGCCTCAGCCTCTGGGCCAGCGGCGCCCCCTAGCGGAGAGAGAAGGGCGAAATCCACC